CACACACACAAATAAGTGTAAATATTTCTACATATTTGTATTGTTTATTACGTATGTTACTTTGTGATCTTTTTTTTTTTTTTTTTAATGCTCTTTAGTTATATTTTTTTCTGTGTTTAAGAACAAAACAATTGACGGTATTTTATTATTTTTATAGTTTATTCCATTGACCAACTTTATATTTTTTATCGATATTGTCCACATTTTCATCAATGTATAGTGAACGTTCGCACGTTTGCTTTCTCTACGTTTTATATTAAAATATTTGAGTATTTTCTTGCACGTTCACCTTTGAACCCCCCCCCCCTTTTTTTTTTTTTTTTTTTTTTTTTTTTTAAAGAATAGAATGTTGTCATCATTTGTCAACGTGTCTTGTGTTGTAGGGCGGAGAGCCCGATCTGCCCACGGTGTCCAAGATGGTGTTAAACGATTGGCAGAGGGGACGTATACCTTTTTTTGTCAAGCCTCCAGGCCCCGAGGGCGACCAGCAGGTAAGGTTTTGTTTTTTTGTTTTTTTTTTCTCAATGCGATACCTGCAACACCTTTTATGTTACCATTACTTTTTTTTTTTTGGGTCCACCAGGAACCTTTGCCAGTGAAAGCTGCGCCAGCAACAGTCGACGACGGCATGCAAGATGCCCAGACGGAAGAAGAAGCCGCCATCGCCGCCACCGCCGCCGCCACCATTGAAGGCGAAGAGCAGCAGAAACGGCGGCAGAAGGAGGAACTTAACAAGATTTTGTCCAGCGTGCGACAGAACTTCGGTAAGATCAACGTGGCGCCCGAATTCAACGAGGAGGACCTGGTCCCCGTGGAAATGCCCGACCTGGACATCTCCGGCTCGGAGGCCGAGGATGACGAGGCGGAGGAGGAGGAGGACGGTGAGGAGGAAGAGGAGGCGGAGGGCGTAAAGGAAGAGGACGCGGGCAGTGAGCCGGCCGCCGAAGAGAGCGCGGTCGCTGGGGAAAAGAATTCCAAGCGAGTGCTACGCGAGCTGGACGAGAAAATTGCCAAATACAAGCAGTTTCTGGCCCGGGCCAAATCCAAGCGCTTCTCTGCCATCAGGTCAGTCGAGGTCGCCACCAAACAGTTTTTTGCTTTCCTTTGCGCGAGACAAATGGCGGCAAAAAATGTTCGCAATGAGTCATTCGCCGATATCAGCTATTTTTTTAAAAATTGGAAATCCGCCTCGCATAGACATTATCGGGTTTAAGAATCATGCAAAAGCACTTTTTTTTTTGTTTGTCGATCAGTGGGAAGAACACACAGAGACTGTGACTGGAAAAAAATGTCAGCCAAATTTGAACATGAGCAGTTTCATCACTAAGAGGCTAGCCACGAGCCGCTTAGCCGCTAACAACTAGCCGGCAGCCACCGGATGGAAGCGGCAATCAATCGCGTCGTATTTTGCGAGTAGCGATGATCTTCACGCCGTATGTAAGACAGTCGTGATCGATGTTTTGAAACGAATGAACAAGAAAAAAAAAAAATCGCCGCTCATAAAATGCTGGATTACTTTATCATCGTCTTTTTCGTCAGTATTTGGTTTCCACTCGCATGTCATGAGGAAACCCAACCCAGAGTCAATAAGAAAATACATTTAGGATGTTTTTGTTTTGGACCACTTGTGCCTCTTGCTAGCCAATTTTTCTTTCGCTCTCTCTCTCTCTCTCACACACACACACTCACTCATAAACGTGTACACAGACGCAGAGTGGCTAGTTTTCATCCGGTTGTTCATAATATTAAGAAAATCCAAATGGAAACTAACTTGGGGTTTTTTATTTTTGGTTTTTGTGACACAGGATACCAAAAGCCGATTCAGACAAATTGTTGATGAACATCAAGACCAAACAAGTGCAGATGCAAGGTAACTATGAATCACATCGTACGCTTTTTTCCCCCTTCGGACCACAGCAAAGATGGCATTTTTTTGATTTTTATGAAGATTGATTGATTTGTTTGTTTGGGTGGGTGGCTTGATTTTCATTCACTTTGAGTGCATTTGTAACCACATGGGGGGGCTCAACACGGGCCGAAAGTGGTGTTTCTTGGCAGTATTTTTTTCCGTCACCGGCTCAATGTTGTTGTTGTTGGGGGGGGGGGCAGTATTCTTCGAACAAGGTTGTTTGTCGGAACTTTTAGCGTTGATACTAGCGCAGGCATGTCCATCTGCAGTCCTGGAGGGCCCCCCCACCTTGCCTGTTTTCGATGCTACCTTGGTCCAATGATCAGCTCATCAGCAAGTTGTTGAGACGATCCTGAGCTTTTGCCGCCGGGAGGGGGGGGAGATTGAGTCAGCCTCCCTTGCAAAATTTTTTTCTGGCATTTTGTGAAGTTGCTCATTGAATTATTTTTTGTATTTAATTCTAGCGGCTACGCAGAGAAACAAAAAGAGGAAAGCTGACGACGACGACGAGGAAGATGAGCATTCCGCCCCACAACCCAAACTGTCGTCCAAAGAGGTAGAAAAACGCCTTCACGATTTATTGGACAGATCCGTTCCAAAGTTCCTCTTTTAAAAAAGTTCATTGTTGTATTTTTACAGCGGCGAGCGATGGACCGTGCCCAGCGGTCGAAGAAAGTGGGCTCGCGCTACTACGAAACGCACAACGTCAAGAACAGGAACAAGAACAAGACCAAAGACACCCAAGCGGCAACGTCGCGGGGCAAAAAAGCGAAGAGAGCTAAGCGCTAAAGGCTAGCACTCAACTCCCATTAAAAAAAAAAAAAATAGACTTTTCATGATGCTTTATTTGAAATGTAAGTAATAAGAGTGTGCATTTTGAACCCCTCGGGGAAAGTCTGGCCTTAGCTTTAAATGCAACAATCATTTTTTTGGAGTATGCATGGGAAAAAAAAAAAATCTTCTATTTGCCTCCGTAGCGACAGCCAGCGACACGTCGCAGCTCGGGAGTTAGTTACTTCTTTGGCGCGACCATCCCTTCCAGTTGGGTCTAAACGGGAATACACGCAGAACGTCAGGAAGGAGAAGCATCGAAAGGTTGACATGTTCTTACCTTGAGCTGCTGGTTGGTCCTCTTCAAAAACTGAATCTGCTCCGCGCGCTTCTTTTCCTGCGCTTCCCGTTTTGCCTCGTCCCTCCTCTCGTTGGCGACGCGCTCGTCCTTCTGAGCGTTTAGCCGCGCCGTCAGATCCTCTTTCTCTTTCTCCTGAGCGCTTATCTGGGGATGCGTCAAAGGGGCGAGAGCGATCGGCTTTCTATGGCGTTCGAAACGGAGACGCCTTATGCCGTTTTTGTTACAAAATAAAAGTCACGAAAGGTTGACGTGGTCGTTTAAATGTTTCACTTGATGGTTGGTTGGGCAGGCAGGCCCTGAAAAACCCCAACCAGGTGTTTGCGAGCCACCAAAAAAAAAGTCAATGGGCCCCCATGTCATGTCCTCTTTAAGGCTGCCATCTGGTGGGGGTGCGGCTGAACTACAGTTAGCCGACCGAGAATAAGACGAATCATTAAAGAGTAATACACTATGTGTCTGTTGCTTACTCTTTGCAACATGTCCACCTTGTCCTGCTCGGCCTGCAGGGCTTTCCTCATGCCGAACACTACGCTGCTCTCGTACAGGGTCTGGTAAGCGGCGATGGTCATTTGGAGCTCGTCTCGGACGCGAAGCAGCAGGAGGCCTCGCTCGGCGCAGTTGACGCACACCTGCCGGATCAGCTCGTCTTCGAAAGAAGAATAGAAAGAGGGGGAAAAAGTCGCCCTGGTATGTTTTAGTTCTCGACTGGTTCGGTTTCTTTGACAGCGGTTGCATCAAATCGCCAAGGGAATTGTCACCCGTTACTCTCGACAGGCAGCTCAAATCATAAAATTGTCATCACAATAGTTACCGAAACACTGCGAGTACAACTCCCTACGCACGGGGCAGATGCCCGTTTCCAAGGCCCGCCTCTGCTGCAACTTCCTGTCCAGCACTTCCTCCAGGTTGACCACGTCGGCCCGTGTACTCGGCGTACTGGACACCCGCTGCGCCCACATCTGGTTGCCCTCCATCCACTCCCTAGACCAGGGGTGTCAAACTCATTTCACATTGTGGGCCACATACGGACTCGGTAGATGTCAAGTGGGCCGAACCATTAACATTATACCATACTGTGCTATGAATCACCAAAGTATCATCTCTTTCCTTTGTTTTGGTCTGAAGAAGCATTGATTGGCGCTTTCATAACATTTGCTGCGGTGGGTCTACCTCGGTGACAGACTGAGACTGCTGTTTTCTTCCCCGATCAAAACAATGTTGTCTTCGACTGTGATCAAAACAGTGTGTCCCCTAGCGGATAATTCACGAATTGCATTTTATTTAAAATATTAATTCTGTGTCTTTAATGCATTTTTTTTTCACTTTTAAATTATCCCACGGGCCGGATCGAACCTCCTTGGGGGCCGGTTCCGGCCCACGGGCCGTATGTTTGACACCACTGCCCTAGACGTACAGTATATGTTATGTTCTGGGGTTTCTTAGAGGGCTGTAAAAGCGGTTGCGGAGGGGGGCGCACTCACCTGGGCGGAAAGATGACGTTGAGGATTTCCTCATTTTCAGGTGACCCTGATTTGGTTTTAGGCGGAGGGGGCACAGGAGTGTCAGCAGGCTGATGCGGGCTCACTTTGAATGGACGCCCCTACAGGGGGAAAAAAAAAGGGTGTTCGTCATTTTAAGAAGAGGTTGTCAAACTGTTTGGCTGATTGAACGACGTACGCATGAGAAATTTCACAAAGGACCCTCAGAACATAACCATTGCATTACATAACCATGCCATTTAGGAACAGGAACGGGTCCAGGATTTTTTTTTTTCTCTCTGCAGGGGTTAGGGTTGGGCTTGACCGATACATACTGAGAAAATAATCGGTAAATATATTTGAGAATATCAAATAAAATGCCCGACGGGGGGGGGGGGGCGACGCAGATATCTGATTGTGCTGTACAGTGTACCCCGAGCCCCAGTGCAGGAATATAAAAGATGACCATTTTAGAGAGAGAAAAAAAGTTAAATACAATGGCTATGGCGTTTAGAATTACAACTGAGCTGTGTTTATGTAAATTATTAGAAAATAATTTAGTTTGTAATTTTCCATCTTTTCTATGGCCCACTTACCTTCCCCGATTTCCTCGCGTTGCTTTTGCCGATTGAAACCGGAGTGTCATATTTGAGAAGGGACTCTGTGACCTCACTCATCTTGTGGGATGCGATAAAATATTTTTTTCCTTCCGAAAAAGTGCAGCAGCAGGTTGGTTTCGACTTTAAAAAAAAAAAAAAAGTTCGCGTTGACGTTTTCTGTTGTCATGGCAACGTTCTCCTACTGGTATCGATTGTATTTGATCCGGGTGGGGAACTGTTTTTGACCACTTTTTCACTCACGCATTTCGTTTGCATGAGAAGCACAAGAGCAGATTTTTAATTGTAAAATTTTAATGCTTTGCTGTTGTATTTAAGTAAGGTGTTTAATTCATTTTAAAGTGTTGGTTTGACAAACGGACAGATTGCGACAAGCGCTGATTCGCCGAGATGTATTTCCCGAGCTCCCACCGGAAGCGGAAGTAAAGAAGCCATAACGTAAGCTATTGCTTTCTATCCGGGTGGGGAACTGTTTTTGACCACTTTTTCACTCACGCATTTCGTTTGCATCAGAAGCACAAAAGCATATTTTTATTTGCAAAATTTTTAATGCTTTGCTGTCGTATTCAAATAAGGTGTTTAATTCATTTTAAAGTGTTGGTTTGACAAACGGACAGATTGCGACAAGCGCTGATTCGCCGAGGTGTATTTCCCGAGCTCCCACCGGAAGCGGAAGTAAAGAAGCCATAACGTAAGCCATTGCTTTCTTTCCTCGCGTTGCTTTTGCCGATTGAAACCGGAGTGTCATATTTGAGAAGGGACTCTGTGACCTCACTCATCTTGTGGGATGCGATAAAATATTTTTTTCCTTCCGAAAAAGTGCAGCAGCAGGTTGGTTTCGACTTTAAAAAAAAAAAAAAAGTTCGCGTTGACGTTTTCTGTTGTCATGGCAACGTTCTCCTACTGGTATCGATTGTATTTGATCCGGGTGGGGAACTGTTTTTGACCACTTTTTCACTCACGCATTTCGTTTGCATGAGAAGCACAAGAGCAGATTTTTAATTGTAAAATTTTAATGCTTTGCTGTTGTATTTAAGTAAGGTGTTTAATTCATTTTAAAGTGTTGGTTTGACAAACGGACAGATTGCGACAAGCGCTGATTCGCCGAGATGTATTTCCCGAGCTCCCACCGGAAGCGGAAGTAAAGAAGCCATAACGTAAGCTATTGCTTTCTATCCGGGTGGGGAACTGTTTTTGACCACTTTTTCACTCACGCATTTCGTTTGCATCAGAAGCACAAAAGCAGATTTTTAATTGTAAAATTTTAATGCTTTGCTGTCGTATTTAAGTAAGGTGTTTAATTAATTTTAAAGTGTTGGTTTGACAAACGGACCGATTGCGACAAGCGCTGATTCGCCGAGATGTATTTCCCGAGCTCCCACCGGAAGCGGAAGTAAAGAAGCCATAACGTTAAGCTAGCTCCACTGCTCCTCGTTAAGTTTGTTGTCGAGAAAATGATCATCAACACCTAAGCCGAGGCGCTTTACAACTTTTTTTTATTTTTATTTTTTTGAGCGATTCTTTTCCCGGAAGGCAAATGGCCAAAGAAAAACGACACAAGAGAAGAGACTCGCCCGAAGTGAAAACGAAGGTGAAACAAGAGAAGCTAAGCCCCGCGAGGCCGCACAAAACACGACGCTCGCCCAATGACAACAGAAGGAGAGCCAGCAGGCCAGTTTTTTTTTTTTAAATTTTTGCCATACCTTTTAGTTGAAATCTTGTTTTTCTCCGAACTAAGAGCACGCGCCGTCAAAACTGCAACATGGTGTTTCCGAGTCTGCTTTGGCTAGCCGTTAGCGTTCGTCGCGCAACAAACTTATCATCGGCGGTGCTGCTTATTGAGTCGTGTTTTTTGTGCGTGTACGGCTTCTTCCAGGTCGCCTGTCAGGACGAGGGACGACCGCTCGAACGGCAGGAGAGAGGCGTCCTCCCCTGGCCGGCGAGGCAGCAGATCCCCTCGGAGGAGAAGTCCTCATCGCAGTGCCGATGTCAAGTTAAAGCGGGTGAATTCAGCTCGGAAACTAAGTCGACAACACTGCATTTCGACGCTTTTTTGCCTACACGCGGATTTGCGCGCTTGTTTTAGTGACTGACTTAGTCGGATGGTTCATGCTGTCAAGTTTCGTCAAGTCAAATTGATTGCTGTGTTTCCCATTACATTTTAGCATTAAACTAAGGGAACTTTAAGCAAAGAGGATCCATGCCAAATCACCCCTCCTGCAAAAAAAAAGAAAAAATTAACCGAAGGGATTTTGATTTGAATGAAACTTGGTGGTGGTGATGGCACAACACAAAATCTCAAAGTTTAGGTTCATCGGAGCTGGGCTTTGGGGGCAAATTTGAATATAGCCGGCAAAAAGAGACATGGCTGCTTCCTTTTTAAAACTTGTATCTCAGGAACGACTTGGTCAAGGAATCCAAATCCGCAATCATTTAGAAGAGTGGTGCATATTTTAGTAACGTAGGCAGGCCACTTTGACCTAGAATTTGTGGATCACGTGACCTTAACAAAAATTTTCAGGAAATATAATCTCTCACATGTTCTCTTCAAAAAATATCAAAGTTTCAGAGATGTACTTTTTTTTTTTTTTTTTTTTTTGCTCAGTAACTATCAGGAACAAAGTATACACGTGCTCAGATTGGAAAGAAATATTTCATGACAACTCAATGAATGGAAAGACCCAAGAGTTTTTTTTTTTTTTTTGTGGTTTTGTTCAGTACACAATATTTAACTCTCTTTCAGTTTGACTGTAAATTTCCAGTCTGAATGTCAATAAACAGGTTGAAGCAAGCAGCTTAGAAATTTGGTGAAAACGTGAGCACAAATAAAATAGTGACCTGTACTGTAGCGCTTTGACGTTTGTTGCCGTCATCTAGCGGTAAAGTGCTGTCGTTCACTTGTGTGTGAATGGTTTGAAAGCAAAATACTTTTTGCCAACAAATGATTGCTTCCTCAAACTTTTTTTTTTTTTTTTTAACAAGCTTTCTTTTCCTACCTGCAAAACAGGAGCGCGACGAGCAGCGTTCCGGTGGAGAAGAGCAGAGAAGACGAAACGAGCAGCCGCAGGAAAAGCGCGGCAGGGCGGAATTGGAGCGGCCGCATGAAAGCGAGCGCAACGGCGACAGACGCAGGGAACGGGACGCCGCCGCCTCGCAGCAAGCGGAGCGACGGCACCACGACGAGCAACGGCGGGAAAAGCGTCGACGGCGCGAAGAGAACCAGGAAGTGGACTTCGGCCATCCGGAGGGCTCCGGCGACAGCCCGACGGACCCCCCCCACGCCGACAAGGAGAAGCCCAATTTCGGCCTGTCGGGGGCGCTGACGGAAGACACCAACACGTTCCGCGGAGTGGTGATCAAGTACAACGAGCCGCCCGAGGCGCGCGTTCCCAAGCGCAGGTGGCGGCTCTACCCGTTTAAGAACGACGAGCAGCTTCCCGTCATGTACATTCACCGACAGAGCGCCTATCTGTTGGGGAGACAGCGGAAAATTGCAGACATTCCCATCGATCACCCGTCCTGCTCCAAGCAGCACGCGGTATTCCAGTACAGGTAAGGGCCAATATGCCGAGGGGCGCTTTGCAAAAAACGGTACATGTCATCTTTTCGCATTTTCACACCACGATACGAAACGGTGGCCAAGGAAGGAAAACGGCGACGGCAAATCCGCGACACCGGTCGGTCGTAGCTGCATCGGCGGCGACGCAAAAAACAAACTTTTTGCCCACTGCAAAATGATTTTGGATTTATTTCTTCATTGTGTTTTCCCTTCAAACGGCTTTGGCGGCTATCTAAAGTCCATTTCTTTCTCTGCGTGTTCAGAGTGACGGAGTTCACCCGAGCGGACGGCACCACGGGCCGTCGGGTGAGACCTTACATCATCGACTTGGCCTCGGGCAACGGCACTTACCTGAACAACCAGCGCATTGAGGCGCAGCGCTACTACGAGCTCAAGGAGAAGGACGTGCTCAAGTTCGGCTTCAGCAGCCGCGAGTACGTCCTGCTGCACGAGTTCTCCGACACCAGCGAGGTGGACGCCAAGGAGGAACCCGAAGAAGAGGAGGACGAAGGCCTGGATGAGTAAAAAAAAAAAAAAAAAAAGTCCAGAAATCCAACTTGACCATGTCATCTGTTTTTGCCTTTCAAGGTGGGACCCGATGAATGATGCGCTCAATTATGACGCCCCGGTGTACAGACAGACAGACCCCCCCCCCTTTTTTTTTTAAAATTTCCTCACATGGGGGGGGGGGGTCTCACAGCAGTCATGTAAATTTACATTTTTGTACTGTAAATAAAGACTGTCAACTATTGGGACTGCCTCGAGCAAATTATTGACCTCTCATGAAATATTTGAGAATGGGTCACGCTAGTTTAGCTTTTGTCGTATTATTCTCTTTCTCTTTAGCAATTAAGATAAAGCCTTTTAATACCCGTTTGTCAACATAGGTTGAGTAATTTTGTAAAAAAAAATATCCATGCGTGGAAAGGATGGACATGACCTGAGCATCGCCATAAGCTTTAAAGTTTTTTTTTTTGTAGTACTCAGGCTCCATTTGTGTTAAAATCTCTTGAAAATACAAATTTTCCTTAAGTTCAGTTTTTTTTCCAGGATCACAAGGCGTTTCCAGGCCAGCCGGGAGACAAAGAGTCTCTCCAGCATTTCCTAGGTCGTCCCTGGGACCTCCATGCCCAGAATACCTCCCTAATCAGATGCCTGAGCCACCTAATCTTGCTCCTCTTGACGCGGAGGAGAGGCGGCATCGACTCCGAGCCCCTCCCGGATGACCGCGATTCTTACCCGGGGACGCCCCCTGGGGAGATCGACCGGTAAATCGAGAGCTTGGCTTTTTGTCCCAGCTCCTGGGCTTGGTCATGCCATGTTCTCAAGTTGACCCGTGACTTGTCATTACTTCGTTACCCGAGCAACAGAAATGTCATTTTCAGTCACCAGCGAGTGGCAAAATGTCTGCCCCCTGAAATAGATAAAAAACGGCCGGATTTTGCTGCTTAAGTCATACTCCACAAACGCAATACCGAGCAAAATGCGGTGTTTCGACTCTTGGGAGGGTCGGGTGGGGGCGCGCAGCACATATTGTCAACAAAATGTGAGACTTTACCTCCCCCTCATTCAACTCAAGTGTATTTCTCGAGCACTTTCAGCCATCGCTGCATACAAAGTAACTGTACATGAAGCAACTAACATATAACAGTAAAGCAATAAATCCGTAACAAAGATGGTCGATAACACCAAACGGTAAAACTCACAGATCAGTTGAGCAAATTTATTTCCCAAGCGTGTGTCACAATGGGAGCCCTTTGCATGAATCAATCACGCAAGAGTAAATCTTGGGGTGAACCCCGATCTAAACCCTAACAAAAAGCGCTCCCGCTAATGTCCACACGGTGCTGTCCCTGAGCCACGAAGCTTTTGTGGTCCCGCCAGTCCCAAGACGGGCACGGTCCTCGGAGGATGCCGAAAAGTCTTCCAATAGTTCAGCTTTGTTTTTAGTGTCTCTTTAACTGTCTCCTCGCGTTCGATAGCGTTGCGTCCCGTTGTCTTTGGTTGCAGCTGCAGTTGGGTTTCAAAGTGGAGTGGAGTTTCGTGATTTCACTTGGAATAGAGGAACATAGCGACCATGTGAAATCTTCGCATTAGTTTTGGGAGGTTGGCGCCTTGTGTCGACATATCTCTCGTTAGATGATGCCAATAATCTCCGCAGTGCTGTGTAAAGAAAACACAATGAGAGCACTCCCTTGAATGGAAGGCACTTATTGCGCAATCCACAGGCACCAGAGTGGAAAAAAAAAAAACAATGGAGGTTATCGCGGAAGTGAACAATCCGCCACAACTTTGATGGAAACGTTCAGTGCCAAAAGGGGGGAAGGAACGCGAGACGCGCGGGCATCCGGTTTGGAGGATGACTGTGGGGGCGGAGCTCCGGGAACGTTCCCGGAGCCTTTTGGGGGCGGACACTCGGGCAATCGCGTACACTCACCTGAGGTGACTAGCGCGACGCTTCGCCCGAGACCCCGACGAGAAGGAATAACGACACATGTACACGACGGAGCGGAGGCGGATGAGTCTCCGGCGGGAGCCCGCCGCCGGGTCGCAGGCGTCGGCGGGAAGTTTGTGGCAGGACCCGCTGGCCATGGAGCTGAGCGCCCGGAGCCACGCCGCCAGGACCGGGACCGGGACCGGCGTCGTCTCGCCCCGGAACCGCGGCCGCGCCGTGTCGGTGGCCTACATTGCCAACGACGGGGAAGGCGAGGCGGCCGCGACGGCGCAGGCCGCCCAGGTCGAGCGGCGCTTGTCCCTGGCCTGCGTGAAGGAGGCGTGCGCCGACACGCGAGCCTCGTTGAAAAGCATCCCCTTCGAGAGGATCTCCATGGCGACCACGGACGTTCTGGACAGCTTCTACAACGCAGGTAGGTGAGTTGGCAAAACTTTTCGCCAACACCCTTTTTGTTCAGGTCTTCCGGGGGCCAAAACAATTGACACGATGTACTCGAGTACAAGCGCAAGTCATTGTGTCCAAAAACGAAGAAATACCGCAGTGTCAAGTTTAAAAAAAAAAAAAAAAGCGCCGACTGACATTTTGAAATGTCGTTGCCAAAAGTAGTACTCACACTGTCACAACGTACAAGCGTCGTAAGGGAAAAAAAAAAAAAAAAAGAGTCCGAGTTGGAGTCAACTTTTTGGAAGTAAACAGGACATATTTGAAAGTCGTTCCAACTGAAGTGACTGTGTGTGAACCCCCCCCCCCCCTAAAAAAGTTGTCATTTTTACAGTATTTTTCTGATAACCTATTTTCATACGCCCCACGAGCTAATATCTTTTTGTTCTCCCCGTTTGGCAAAAGAGGCCTCCGTAAATGACAACGCAAACGACTTGTTTTGCTGGTCAAACTTCACTGACTCTACGCAACCAATCAGAGGACAGAAAAAAATGTTGCCGTCTTGAGGGCTACCTTGCTGATTCGACGAGGCAAGATTGAATTGTCATTGATTAAAAAAAAAATAATAATAAATAAAGAAGAGACTCATCGTTCGCATACTGGTTACATCAGTACAGTACGCAAGTATTTGTATTTTTTTGTCACCCTTACCTGCCACCATCATTCCCTCACAGATGTGGCCGTGGTGGAGATGAGCGACTCTTTCTGCCAAGCGTCCCTCTTCTATCACCTGGGAGTCAGAGAAAGTTTCAGCATGACCAACAACATCATCCTGTATCGTTATGAGGAGGACACAGACCTGCAGGCTGTGAAGGTGGGATGGCGTTCCCCAAGGCTCATTCATGGGACCAGACTGCTTTGAGTCATTTGATCATTGCATTGTAATAAAAATGTTGATGAGGAATCTTCCAAATCCTATTTGGTAGGTATACATGCCTGATCTGATGCAGGGATGAAGTGAGCCGTTTTCCAATGCGCAACAATTTTACGGAGTGTTTTGGCTGCCTGTGAGATGAGTCGTAACGATGAAATTAGGAAAATAAAGGCAGATCTAACTTGACGCCAAATCTTCGCTGAGCGCTCTCGAAGGGAGTCCTAATACTCCAAGGTCCCAAAAGACGCTTCTGTGTCGTTCAGGAGCAGTGTGGAAGCTACACTTTCCTCCCTTACGTGGTGACGCCTCAGGGCAAGGCGTTCGCCTGCGACGGCGCCGTGATGACCGGCATCAAAGAGCTGATGCAGCCCGCTTTCCAGCTGGATTCGCTTCTCACGCCGCTGACCGAGAGACTCGCACATTTGCTCAACGACGTGGATGTGCAGCCAAGGTGAGGTGCCTTCCTATTCCTCTCGCCGTCATGGTGTATTTCTCAAAGTGGAGGCTCGGGACTCCCGGGGTTTGGAAACTCGCACATTTGCTCAACGACGTGGATGTGCAGCCCAGGTGAGGTGCCTTCCTCTTCCTCTCGCCCGTCATGGTGTATTTCTCAAAGTGGAGGCTCGGGACTCCCGGGGTTTGGAATAAATTCCCATGTAGATAGATGTTTTTTTTTTTTTCAAAGTGCAAAAGTCGGAGCGTTTTTCCAACCTTGGAAACTTTTAACAAGACTGAATGGGACTAAACCAGGAATGGGTTGACGGAGGGGGGGTCCCAATGAGGTCCCTGGACCAAAAAGGTTTGACAACCACTTTGGTATTCTCCGCCAGCGAATACTTCCGGGAGTCCATTCGGCACGAGATCCGCATGGCGAGGGAGCGGTTCAGCGGTGCTGCCCTGAGCGAGGAGCTGAGTCGCATCCAGATGCGTTTGGATAGCGTGGAGCTGCTCACCCCTGATATCGTCATGAACCTGTTCACCTAAATGCGAGACCAAAACGGAGAAGTCTCGAGTCATGTTTTCAACATTTCGACTGAGGTGGCGGCTCTCGTATCCGTGGGCGGGGCATTCTGGAGCACTTCAGATCTCCCGATGGAGCGATTTTGGCTCGCTTTGCCCCACGGATGTATCCTGATAGCAGCAGATGAAGAGCCGACATAGGGGGGGAAAAAGAACAGGCCGACAAGTCGTTCAACTAAATGCGAGAGCAAAACGGAGAAGTCTCGAGTCATGTTTTCAACATTTCGACTGAGGTGGCGGCTCTCGTATCCGTGGGCGGGGCATTCCGGAGCACTTCAGATCTCCCGATGGAGCGATTTCGGCTCGATGTATCCTGACAGCAGAAGATGAAGAGCCCACATAGGGGGGAAAAAAAGCATCTGTAAAAATCCACATCGATGTCCTTTTGTTTTTTGACAGGACTACGATGCGATGATAAAGCTGGTGGAGATGCTGAACAACCTCCCCATGTGTCTGGTGGCAAAACACCAAAATATTAAGTTCCACTATATTTTTGCCCTCAACAGGTACAGTGTTTCTATTCCATTGCTTTAGTGCTCCAGTCCTGTACTGTTGGTTGTGGATCTCTCTTGACAGATGGCCGTTCTTTTCGATTCCAACGGTAACAGGAGGAATCAAACGGGCGACCGTGCCAAAGCTTTGGAGGAGATCCTTCCCATCGTAGAATCAGGAGGCAAGGTGGTGTCGGACGTGTACTGCCTGTGCGGTCGCATCTACAAAGACATTTTCATGAGCTCGGGCTTCAGCGACCA